ATTGAATTGAATTGAATTGTTCATCTTTCTTCTTCACTGGAAGTCCCCACACTGAGTGTGTGTCAAATGGCACTATTGTGTTTGTGCCAGTGACACACTTTCTGGGGCTTATGATGTGTAAGCATATCTCCTCTTTACAGTGCCTCAATTCAGTGCAGTATTACTGCAGGCTATTTGGAAAAATGCTGGTCACTGGTCACAGGGCTGTCCCTATCAACGTTTCTATAACTGTCCCAGAAGAGCATTCCAGACATTACCCGGAAGCCCTCTGTACTCTATGCTGCAGCTGCTGACCTCTCACCCAGGCAAAATTAATAGCTTAACAATGTGCAATATAGAGTGCCCCAGTCCACTCACTGACAGTGATAGACATATTTGGCGCAAATGATAAGCCAAACAAACAAGCTGATAAACACACTGTCTATTGAGTACTGTTGTCGTCAGCATAAGGAATGGTATCGAAATGGATGATAAGTCCCACAGTGATTTAACGTTCAAAAGTGATCCCTTTCACCACCCAAGAAAGCTGGATCTTTTCAAGCGTCTGTGCAATTTGTATAAGTGCACTGTACTGATGGAAACGGCTCACTCCTTCAAAAAGACAGTGGGGTGTTTGCAAAACACAGTGTCTCCAGTCCTGCATCTCTTCCCTCTTGAGAGCCATGGTAACCAGCTCTGAGGTTGTATTCGTATCATTTTTTTTCTAAATATATAATAACACGTCTTTAGTTAGACTAGAAGCTCGTGACTCTGGCGTTCCTCCCATATGAAATAAGAAAATTATTTGACACTGCAGGGTAGCGCTTTGGGGTTCGAGGGAAAGGGATGGCAAGTATTAGATTTCATTCCGAGCCCTGTTAATATGTGGGAATGTTGGGCCTGTGGAATGTGGCGTGGCTGACTTTATTCTCATTCCCAGTATTAATAGCATAGTTATCCCAGTGATCCGGCCTATTTGATGAGCAGAGATGTGCCCGTTGGCCAGCAGAGAAGTGGGTCAACATTGGGCCTGTGATCTGATGTTAGTCTCCCCCCTCGATACAACCTCCTTCCTGAGCCAACATTAACATCTGTATTGTTAGAGTCCCATGCAGCAACTGGTGGACTTGTGTAACATGTGGATGACCTTCTGAGTACAGTTACCACAATGCAAGCTAAAGCCTTGAGAGAAATGTTTTTAAGTGAGGTGGAACAAAAATGCACTTTTGAATCAAGCATTAGCAAGGTGGCTCACAAAAAGGGCCTCCAAAGCGTGTGTATGCAAACTCTGGCTGATTTGTTGTTAACTTCCCAGAAGTCATCTCCTTCTGCACGGGTTCTTATTTCAACTTTTGCTCATGCAACTTGTGTCTGTGGTTCGTGGCTTCTATGAAGGGGTTTAACATGTTTATAATAATTTGCTTCAAACTGCAATGGGGCATGGTTGGGTACTGGGGGGGCTGCTACATTTGTTTTGATCAAAGCAAAAAGCTCGATCTAAAAGCACAGTTGTAACAACCCCCTGGTACTTCATGTGGTCTGCGCCTTTATGAATGTTCCTCACATCAGGAAATGTCTTTTTTTAATTAATCAAGCTAAATTAAATGGGTATTAATGACATCCCTGGAGGATTGGAAACATATCCCCCCTCCTATTTTTCCAGTGGTTTGTTGAGGCATTTCCTCTTTATGGGTGAGGTGGGTTACTGTGCCTCATGGCCCTGTTAAAACTAACAGTGCTTATATGTTTGTTTGGCTAGAAGCCAATAAGACGTCTGAGAATTCTCAAATATTGGTTGTGAAAGAGTTTAAAAGTTTATGAGGTGATATTGAAAGACTGCCATATATATATAGGTGGTGGAGTTCAGCCTTTTTTCTGTAATTTATAAAAAAATGGATGAATGGTAAGAATGACAAAATATAGACATCATTGACAGTTTGAACAACTTGTCTAGAACTACTAATATGAGTCCACAGTGATGTAAAGCACTCACCAAGCATTGCCATTTTTCCTGAAGGGACAATCTATGTGCTTCATATGTAAGATTGGCAACCCCTGTGCAAACCTGGGGCGACTACATGTAATTACGCTGTCCCTGCATTGGCTGTCTGACAAGAGCTGTTTGTAAACAAAAGAAAATGAAAACTGCCTCTCTGTCCAATTGTGATTGCATTTGCCTTGGAGACAGTCTGGAAATATTTAAGCAACAGTATTAACCACAAGCTATTAAAGTAATTAATAATAATTGTGCTGGTGGTCAATTTCCAGGGTGGACTTAATTTCCTTCCTTATGTTATGCTGGCTCTATACTCTATGACAGCCCCATGAAACTGACTCAACCTCCTTAACATTGTTCTATTGCTATTGTTGAAGCTTGTCACTGTATACGGTGACTAGAAACGTAAGGCGCTTCTTATGTGTTTGAAGTCCATTGTCATGTCGTTTCAGAAGTATCATTTCACTATGAGTTTTCTTGGTGCATGTTTTGCCACTGACTCAGACAGTTTTGCCCCAGACTACGTCCTGGCGACAGTGTCTGAAGGAACGGCTCCCAGTCCAACAGCTGAGTAGATTTTCAGCTGTCTCATCCTCGCAGTTTCCCCTATCTGATTGCAGGGCAGAAAGGAAGTGATTGAGGGGCAACGCAAGCAAAGGAATGAGGGAGGTTTGAAGGAATGGGTAATAAGAATTGGGTGGTGGGTTAAAGGGAAGGGTGGGTTTCTGATCTTATGATTCTGGGTTCTTTTCCTGGAAGATGCACGTAGGCATATGAGCACAGACATCCCTTATCAGCAACCGCCTTAAACACTTGTGGATGTGTCTGTGGATAGAGCCTAAGCAGAATGCCAATGAATTTGGTTTCAGAAACTGCTTATCTTTATTACTCACATAGTAGCAATCATTTACTTTGGATATATCATTGGTAAAATCATTCTCTTCCTACCCATTTGTTTGTCATTCCAGTGGAATGGCTGAGAATGTTTTGG